CTTTCTAATGGTATATAATAATCATAGCAATATTTTATCTCTTAATATAGAATAGTATCTTAATCCATCACTGTAAACACCATGGTTCATACGAAACATAAAATTTCCTTTCTAACCCCATCAAATTTTTGTTTCCTATTTTTACAGCAACAAAATCACATTACTAAACTTTCTCAACACTTTATTAAACACTAATTAAAATCTAAATGATTTGCCCAAACCAACATTGAAGAGGGATAATGGATTTCTTAAAATTTTAATGTTTCTCAATTATAAGTTAAATCTAAAGACTTAACAATTAATATTATTTCTCTAAAATTGAAGGAAATTATTTACTTATATCTAAAAGATAATTCTACTTGTAGATTTTGTTCTTATCCTTCACTTGAAATCATTTAACTTATATATTTTGTATAAGAAAGAAAGGAGAAATAACCCTTTATTTTTTTTCCTTCAATTGTAATATAAGTTAACCCTATTAAAAGTTGAGTTATTTACTGATAAGTCATTTGCCTTTCTAACTTTTTATTAGAAGCTCTTTTCACTTATAAAATACTTAAAATATTTTTTTATGGGTATTACATTCTCCTTAACTCATAAAATGTTTTGTCCTCAAAACATGATTTACTTTTATGTCCAAATAACTGAGGATGTCATTTCTTTATATCATCTTTCATTTCCTAAGTTACTTTTCTTGGTGTGTGATTGCTCTATTAAACTTTTACAAAGGAAATAGTTATGTGCCTCAAGACTTACTCTTTCCAATGAACTATTCAGATAAGATATTCCAAGTATGTTAAATCCTTTTGAACTTCTAAAGGTTTATACTATACCACATAGCTCAGATCAAAGACATATTTTCTTAACATGGACACATGAAACATATTATGCACACTAGATAGTTGAGGTGGCAAGGCTATCCTATATGTAACTTTTCCCATTTTATCAAGAATTTTAAACAGTCTTACATAACATGGGCTTAACTTTCTTCACTTCCTGAATCGTATAACACCTTTTATGGATAACACCTTTAAAAAAACATAATTTTTTTTGTTGAAACTCCAACTCCCTTCTCTTCTTGTTTACCCAACTTTTTTTATGATCTTGTGTTGTTTTAAGTCTCTTCTTAATTACCTTGATCTTTTCCAAAGTCAGTTGCACCATTTTTAGCCATAAAAGTTTTCTTTCCCTAACATTATCCTAACATAAAGGAGATCTACATTTCTTATTATACAAGGCTTCAAATTGAGCCATCCCAATGCTGGATTGATAACTGTTATTATAAGCAAACTCTGCCAAAGGTAAGTAATCATCATAATTATCTTTTAGATCAATCACACATACTCGAAGCATATCTTTCAAAATTTGGTTCATTTTTTTCATCATTCATCTGAGGGTGTAAGTTGTACTCAATTTCAAATTTATCCCTATAGCTCGTTGTAAACTTGCCCAAAATTTAGAGACAAATCTAAAATCTCTATCTGACACAATATTTACTGAAACTACATGCATCAGATAATTTCATCCATGTATAATTGTGTTAGTTAATTAAGTAAAGTAGTCGACTTGATAGGTAGAAAATGAGCTGATTTAGTGAGTTTGTCAACAACTACCAAAACTGCATTATTCTCTTTCGATAACCTAGGCAATCCTATCATAAAATCCACAGAGATGTGCTCTCACTTCTATTTCAGTATCTTCAAAGGTTATAATAACCCTGATGATCTTTGGTGTTTAGCCTTAACTTGATGACATACTAAACATTAGGACACAAATTGAGCTATTTCACATTTTATGTTATTTCACCAAAAACCTTTTTTTTTTCAAATCCTTATACATTTTAGCGCCTCCAAGATGTATAGTGAATTAAAACCTATGTGTTTCTTCTAAAATCTCTCATTTCAGCTTAAAATCATTTGGTACACACAACCTATTCCTAAAGCATAATGTGCTATCCTTGTGAAACTTAAACTCTGGTCGTAAACCATTCCTTACTTAACTAAAATTTATTAGCCATTTGATCCATAAATTCAAGAAATAATTTTTGTTTCTTGTGGATTAATTATAATAATTTTTGCAATCCACATCATATGCTACTATCAAATAACATGTATACCTTCTAATAAAAATTACACATTTATTCATAAAAAACTCTAAATTCACTTTCACTTATTTCATTGAAAAATAGATTCAGTAAGCTTTCCAAATATATATAGCTTAATCTGTATTTCCTTGTATAAAAATTAAGAGGGCTTTCATAATTCCTTAATGCTGCTACTAGGTAACATGCACATCTTTAAGTAAAAATTAAATTACTCTTCATAGAAAACTCGAAATTGACTTCTGTTTATTTCATTAGAAAGGAAATTCATCAAACTTTCCAATGATATATAATAATCATAGCAATATTTTATCCCTTAATACAAAATAGTATCTTAATCCACCACTGTAATACTAGGGTTCATACGAAATATAAATTTTCCTTTTTAGTCCTATTAAATTTCTATTTCCTATTTTTACAATAATAAAATTGCATTACTAAACTTTCTCAACATTTTATTATACCTTGATTAAAGTCTAAATGATTTGCCCAAACTAACTTTGAAGATGGATAATAGATTTCCTAAAATTTTAGGGTTTCTCGATTACAAGTCAAATATCAATACTTAACAATCAACATTATTTATCCAAAATTGAAGAAAATTATTTACTCACCTCTAAAAGATAACTCTCATTATAGATTTTATTCTTACCCTTCACTTGAAATCCTTCAACTTGTCTATTTAGTATAAGAAATAAAGGAGAAATAACCTTTTATTTTTTTCCATCACTTGTTGATCGAAAATAGTAATATAAGTTAATCCTATTAAAAGTTGAATTATTTACTGATAAGTCTTTTACCTTTCTAACTTTTCATTAGAAGCTTTCTTCACTTATAAAATAATTAAAATATTCTTTTTTTTACAAGTATTATAAATTCAACATTTAGCCATCTAGAAAAGTTATTTAGGAATGAACAAGTGGTGGAAAACATGAAAAATAATGGCAAAAAATGTAAGAAAATAAAAACTAAAAACTACCCAAAAAATTTAGAACATAACCAAAAAAAGAAATGACTTTGTATTGCTTAAAATGAACTTTAAAGAGCTTAAAATTTAGGAATGGCAATAGAGTAGATATTGTCATTTTTTAATATATTCATATTTGAATCCATTTAATATTTATAATATCCAAATCCATTTAAATATCCGTTTAAGTTTAATATCACTATCCAAATCAAAATCTGTTTAAATAAATACTATTTGTTAAAATATCTGAATCTGTTAAAATTACCATTTATTTAAAATTTTTGTCAAAAATATAAAATAAACAAAAATTTAATTTAAGATTCAAGTTCACTCTTAATTAATAATAAATAAAATTTATTTTTTAAGATCCAAAACCTTTTATAAGTATAAAATTTTATATATTTTATATATGTAAATGGGTAACGAATTTGGATATGAATTCGGATATCCATTATCATTTACTAAAACTTAAACGAATTCGGATATTAATTATCCAAGGAATATTATATGTATCTATTCTAAATCTATCACGAATAGTAAAACTTTTATCTGAATTCGTTAATTAACTATTTATAACTTTTCAAATACGATATAAATAGATCAGATAATGATGGATATCTATTTATTTACTATCTATTGCCATCCTATTAAAATTTTTAGGGGATTTAACTATAACTTAGGTAACTTACAGAAAAAATTCTACAAAAAAAAAAAAAAACTAAAGAAAATACAAAAAAAAAACTTGAGAAAATAACTTTAGGCTTCATTTGGATAGACAATAAAATTAACTGTGATGAGATTAAAAATAATAATAAAATTTACTATAGCTACGATTGAAAAAAAAATTTAATAAAAAATTTATACTAATTTAATCTTATTGAAGTTAGTATTTAGATTCAATTAAAATAACGATGAACTTAATGATACCGCATTAAAAATATAATGGGATCCAAATGGCTACTTAGTCAGCTACATACATGAGCAAAGGAAATGCAAAAGGAATGGCGGCTAGAAGGTTCTCTTCATGGCGGCAAAATGCTTCTAAATCTTCACTGAAAAAGATTCCTTTAAATTGATTTTCAAATTTTCTCTTAATATTTTTAAATGGTTTTTTTTTATTGTGTTAGAAATTTTTTTATTTTTAATCATTTTTATACTTTATTTTTTAGTTTCACATTTGAATAACTTTATCATTATTTAAATTTAATTAATGATGTTAATCATTTTGAGGTGAAGCGTCTATTTTTAAAACTAATGAATTTAACTTAAATTTTAAATAAATTTGATGGACGGGAGGAATTTACTCAATAAAAAAAATTGTATTATGACTTTCGTTACTTTTGCATGTATTTATTGTAATAACACAATTTATTCATTTATACACAAATGCATAACATTACGTTGTTTACATCTATTTATTAACAGTATTACTTCTTCTGTTATAGAAGATTTAGACACCAATTAGCTAAGTAACCGATCAGAAGCTTATGAGAAGCTTACCAATATGAAGTTTACCTTCAAATTTTCAAATGTAAGACGTTGTATTGATTTGATTGGGCAAACGACATCACCAAGCAAAGGTAGCGAATAAAATAAGGAATTCAAAGTACATCATCTAAGCTTATTATAAACGCTCTTTTATATAACTTTTTTTATCTATACTATTATTAAAATTTTTTATTCAATCGATATAATAAATCAAGTGAAACGAACTTGATTATAAAAATTTATAAAAATCTAATAAAATTATTATAAAATATAATACATAGGTCTTTTGAATTTTTGAAACAAAATATTATCGACGTAAAAAAATTACCAATCACTTCTTTTTTATTTTCCTTTCAAAATATTATTTTATTCACATAAAAAAAAAGGGCAACTACGCAAATAAAATAAATTACCCACCATTTTCTCTTTTTTTTTTTCATTTTTTTTTTTTCACACGGATGGTGGGTGTCTTCAGGAGAGTACAAAGAAACTCACCTCTCTTTAAATTATCGTTGCTCCCAACACTCTCACATGGTTCTCTCTTCTTTCTCTGTTTGATTACCGAGAAAACGTAGGAAACTCATAATAATAAAACTTAGAGCTCCGTTTTTTCTTTCGGTAAACAAAACGGAACTTTCTCATGTTTTTTTTTTGCTTTTGATGGAGACGCTCTACGATTTTAGATCCGTACTTAATTGTTAGATTCTGTTTTCTCTTTTGCAGATTCTCACATTATTCAATTTTTTCTTTGTTTTGCTCTTTGAAGGTAACAGGCATCTGAAAAATCAGCACCATGGTTTCCTTTGAAATGAACGATCGAAAAAGTGAGCTTTTACTTTTTTTTTTTAATGATTTCTTTTCTTTTTTTCATTCAATTAAGGCTTCTGTGAATCTGTGATTTTTATGAGACTGATGCTGATTTGGTACTTAAAATACGATTCAATGTGCAATCCCTAGAAACATGGTGTTTCGATTAGCTCTATCGATTTTTAGTGGTTATTATGCATGTTAGTCCAAGTTTATAACTGCTTTCAAGTTTGGAAAGCCTTTCAAGTGTTAATTTTATTTTACATTGAAGCAATTTATTTCGGACTTTTAAATATGTTTGATGAAGTCAAGTGTGAGGTTTGTGTGTAGGTTGTCGGAAGCCTTCATGTATATAATGCCATACAAAGAAGTTGTTGTTTTTGCTTTTTTATTATTTGTTCATTTATTTTCCAAATCAGTATTAAGACAGTAGATAAAAGTGGGAAAATGAAACAAATATTGTCGAAAGTTATGTGGCATAATTGGGACATAGGTGTTGGGAATATTGACTCAAATCCCATAAGGGATTTGTTTGGAATTTGTTTGAGATTTGTCAGATATTGCTTGATGGACAAGAAGACTTGCAAAAGAAGAATTCTAAGAGAAAGAGAATTCTTAATAGGTAAGTTTGACTTGCAAGAGAAGAATTCTAAAAGAAAAGGGATTCTTAATAGGCAAGTTTGACTTACAGGAGAAGAATTTTAAGAGGAAAGGGATTCTTAATGGACAAGTTTGTATGATTATAAATAGGTGAAGTCTCTATAGGGTTAGGTATGAGAAAAAGATGTAAGAGAATTGTAGGGTTTTGTGAGATAGATACCCCATAGGAGTATTGGGGCTCTACGTCTTATGGATGTGTATGTTTGTTTGTGAGTGGATTAGAGGAGACTAAGAGTGTCTACATAGGTATGATGTATGGGAGCATATGGGTATGTGTTTAGTTATGTTGAAAGGGTGCACAAGGGTTTGAGTTTGTGTTTGTTTGGGTTAAGAATACTTCATAGGACTAGAGGAGATTGAGAGTGTCTTATGAGTATTGATTGTTGAGTAAGGTTGATGATTTGATGTAAGTTTGTAATTTTTTACAACTAGTGGATCTTGTTTCTCATCCGTGGATGTAGGTCAGTTGGACCGAACCACGTTAAATTATTGTCTCTTGTGTGTTTGATTTATTGTTTGATTTTGCTTTCACTGGTGTGATTGGATTGGAGGCTTTTAGCCCAACAAATAGTATCAGAGCTGTGGTGATCCCCAACAATGGGAGGAGGTATATTTATTAATTGATAATTTTGAGAAATTGATGCTAGCCAAACACCAAAGGAATTTTACAAGTGGATCACTTGCCGATCACATTGGATATTCTTATATAGTGAAACATTTTTAATTGATATGCACCCATCTTTCTTGGCTAAGTTTTGGTGCTCTCATTCTTCCAATATATGAGGTAGTTCAATAGGACGTAGTTCTAATTGTTCACTTTATTTATGTATTTATTTGTTCTTGGTGAAGTATGTGCACCATGCTAACTTGGAGTTGCTAATGATGATATTTTTTAAGACACAAAGTGATTGGGATTTTGTATGGAAAATGCTAATTAAAAACCGTTTAGGATTATGGAATTTTGATAGGAGTATTGCAAAATGATCTTATAATATGCAAATAATATATGAGATGATTTTGTGATAAATAAGATTTTTACTAACACCCCAGCTATCTAAGGGTATGGACTATTTAGTTAACTCTGATTTTGTCTGGAATCTAATCTTTGTACTTTAAAACTAAACCTGTTTGTGGAACGAATTATACATTTAGTTGCATGACTTGTTGAATTAAAAATGCTTGGAGGGAAGTAAGAGTTTTTTGGTACTCTAGCATTTGATTCACATGGACTTAGCAATTGGAGACATTTGACTTGGTTTGTCAATAATATTTTGAGGAAAAAAGTCAAACAAGCAACTTTTATGTTCATTTTATTCTGTTAGTTTTCATATGTACTAATATCTGAAATATGAAAAACAGAAATTGGGCTAGGATTAACAGGATTTGGCATATTTTTCTCAATTCTGGGAATTATCTTCTTTTTCGATAAGGGATTGCTTGCCATGGGAAATGTAAGCTAACTTTTATTGTCTAATTGTCCTTTGTTCGCAACTATTTCATTTCCCCACTCAAATCATTTTTTATTAACTCTGCCTTCCATCTTTTTGTTATTTAATCAGATTCTTTTCATATCCGGAGTGACCTTAACCATTGGTCCGAAGTCCACCATGCAATTTTTCATGAAGCGTCAAAATTTTAAGGTTTGGTTCTCTCTCTCTCTCTCACACACACGCATTATGCATGCATCTCTCTTTTTCTTTATGATCTGTTGCCATTGAATGCAGGGAACAATTTCTTTTGGTGTTGGCTTCTTTTTCGTTGTCATTGGATGGCCTATCTTTGGCATGATATTAGAGGCATATGGATTCATTGTGCTCTTCAGGTATAAATGAAAATTTCAATATCTTGATTTAATACAAATGCTTGGCTTCTGTTAATTTTCATTTAGCATTCCCTTTTTTCTTTTGCAGTGGTTTTTGGCCGACACTGGCAGTGTTTCTGCAGAGGATACCTGTTCTTGGTTGGCTCTTCGAGCAACCATATGTCAAATCGGTATGTTTAGTTTGAAAGTCTAGTAAATTTTCTTTTTAACTCATAAATTGTCTGCTGGACATGCATGCTTGCAATCTACTATTTTGTTAGTTCTTGGCTGGTTGTTTATGTTATTTAAAATCTGTGTAAAATTTTAAAAGCACCCTAAAACAGTTCTAAAATGTGAAAGGCCAGAGATTGGGATTTTTATTTATCTAAGAGTATGAAAGGAAGCCAACAAATTATATAAACCTAAGTTCACATCGATATTTATGACTTGCTCAAAGAAGCAAATCTGAAGCCATTTTATTGTCCATTCAATATATGAGCTACTGAATCAGCAATCCTTCTATTTGCTAAAAGGAGACTGTCAAATAGTTTCCTATTTCAACATGACTGATGGTAGAAATTGGAAACATGAAATTATAAAACCACATCTAATTACTGGACTGGTTAATTTATTGACTTCATCAAACCACAATGGAATATTTGTTCATGATGGGTTGTTTATTCGTTGAGATGTTTTCATCTTGCTTTTCAAGGAAGTCCAGTTGCCTGCTGCAAATATTAGTTAATAGAAACCCTTATTCTCAGCTCTCTCTCTGATGTAGTGAGAGGGAAAACATAAGCAAATGAGAAAGCTTGTGAATATCTTCACAATATTGCGAGGTGCACATTTAGGTGCTCACATCAGGCACCTTAAGACAATGATAACTTAAACAAGTGATTGCCTTTGGAACCTGCCCTAGCAGCTCAACTGAGGCAAAAAATGATTGAGGCAAGTACCTAACTGAACTAACTTCATTAATATTTCTTTTTTGGGTAAATTTAAATAGATGACCTTATTTAAGCAGCCTTTCATCCATGTATGAAGGGTATAATTGTCTAGTGCTATTCTTCCCTCCTAAAAACAAATGCAAATCTGTCAATCATAGCTGTCGTGAAAAGAACCCATTCCCATTATGTAGTTATGCATTTCCTCATTTCCCCGTTTTCTTTTGCACTTAGAAAGTACTTGGAATCTACAAGGTTTCTCCTTTTTTATTTATTGATAACATTAACCATGCCTATATTTTGAGTTTGTAGAGTTTTTTTAATTTTTTTATATATAGGAGTGTCTCTTTGATATCCAAATGGTGATCGGCTTATTTTAGAATTTCGCACCTCCCTTTGCTTAGTTTGCATAAAGGATCATGTTATGAACATAGTGCCTCCACCTTTTTTATTACTTGGCATTCTTGGAGATGATCACAAAGTCTATCTTTGATATCCTTCCTTTTTTCCCTAACTTTTGCCCTATTTGTTCTGTCACCGAGCATTGCATACATGCATGATTGTAAGAGCATTGAATAAAAAAATATAAACAGTAAAAGGATTGGCAAAAAAAAAAAAATAAACAGTGAAAGGAGAAAGACACTTGATGTTTGTAATTATGGCAACTTTTACAATTTAGTAGCCTGCATAGATTATTAGATTGTACTTAAAAGGTCCTTCCAATGCAGCATCTGGTTTCAGGTTTAGAAATATAGATCTTAAGCATTTACAAAGAGTTTGCAGGCACCAAATGGAACCCGGTGAATGGATATAGACTAACATGTTAAAGCTTTTGTACACAATATACAATTTAATTATAATTGACCTGAAAGAGGCATCAGCATATGGATAAAAAACAATGATCAGTCTTTTTACACTAACTGCAAGAAAGTACTTTTTGCTTTACAGACTTCTCTTTCTCTCATTTTCCTCCCGTTGAGCATGGTTAAGTTTGGTTGTGTTAGTTGCTGAAGTGATTGGTAGACCTTTATATATTTGATGTAAAAATCTTGTTGAGATCATATGATTTTAGTTATCTGTATGTATCTGATGCCTGAGTTACCAAGGCCCAGGTCATATGGCTTGAATAAAGGAGTCATCTGTTAATCAACTATTGAAGGTGGTTCTTTAAGGAAATTATTGAACTAACTTTGGTCGTATTTTTAATTGGAACAGTTGTTCGACCGTTACAGGGGCAGGCGGGTGCCTGTGTAATCCCACACATAAGAGAAACTGGAACAAGTGATAGGCAAGTTGACTCGTACGTGTTTGTACAATACTGGTTGGATGTAGAAAATTTTTTTGATTAAAGAATAGGAAAAAAAATGAAAAACAGAAGTAATTGCTCTAATTCTGAGCAACTTTGTGGGTTTTGACTTCTCTAACCTGCCGCTAGAGCTCCATTTGTGGTTCAATTGAGACATAAGAAAGGAAGTTTTCAGTGAAGAGCAGGGCAGGTAAGAAGGCATGAATTAATCCTTGTCTCCTCCCAATTTTAATTGGTGCCTTGGACGATTGTAATCTGGTTTTGCTAAAGTTGTTGTTATGGCATTGATGTTTTTATTTTACTTAATTCTTCATCTTTATATTGTTTGTGTTGGTTTCATTACACACATTTGTAACCCAAATTATAGTCAAATGTAAATTTGGTAATTCAAATCTAAAATGCGCAATTAAGCGAGCTATTTTTTTCTTTATCAGTTTGTACACAACATTGATATCATTTCAAATGAATTGATGTGTTCAGAAACAACTAATTAAACTACTTACGTCTTTAAAAAACGTTCAGGGTTGTAATGAATCAGGTTTTCATTGATCAGTTTGTGAAAAGTTTGCTTATAATTTTTTTAAGTCGAATAAATGAATTCGAGCAAGATTTTAAACATCAATAACCTTAGCTTATTTACGTTCATGAACAAGTTCGATATAAAGATTAATAACAAGTTCAATTTTTCTTTGTTGTTTTCCATTGATAAATTAATAAGAACATGCTTACAATAACATTCACAAACATGAACATGTATGTATCACTTCCAAGAGGTGGTTTTGTCATGAAACTTAATTTTATCTGATTAGAAACTTAAATTTAAAAAAAAAAAAAATCAATCTCACAATGTTGGGTTAGGTCGAAACCCGTCGAGGATGGGGTTGGATTACCGTCTCTAGTCACAAGTCTAGATAATGATTTTAGGATGCCTATAATTGAACTCAATTATAAATAATATATTTTTAAATATTATTAATGTTTTTATTTATAATTTATTTTTTTATTAATATAATACTTCACTAAATTAATTTCATTAAATATCTTTCTTTAACTATAATTTATTTTTATGAGTGAATTTTAATTTATTAATTTAAATTACTTTTAAATTTAACTTTGAAAGTCAAACTTTGACGTAATAAACAGATATTTGAAAGTTGTGGATAATTAACAAGTATTTCCTATATTACATGAGTAGAGTTTGGGTAGTAAAAATAAAAAATATTCATATAGTTATTAAATTTAGATATCTTAATAAATAATTGGGTTCAAATACTTAAAAAATAATAAACACTTTATTCATTAACATTCTTAACCCCTACTAAATTTAAAATATTAATATCTTAATTAAGATACCAGATAATAAATTTTTTAAATTAGCAATGGTAAGCTCTCTTGAAAAGTTTATATCATAAATTAAAAAAATAAAAATTACAAAATTACAAGAAGAAAAAAAATCAAAAAAGAAGAAATCAAATCCAGATGTAAATTTGATACTTCTGTTAATATCTATTTCTTAAAAATATAAAAAAAAAAGAAAAAATATTTTTAACAATAATATCCCATTTTAAAATTTTTAAATATTAAAAATATTTATTAAATATAAAATATAAAAGATTAGAAATAAAAAAAGAATCAAATGACTTGCCGCATGACAAATCTTTGATATGGGTTCCTAAAAAATTATTTATTAAATATATTTAAAAAAGAAAAAAAAAAGTGTAACATACCGTTAACATTGAATGAGTCTTGTAAAAAAATTTTTTAAAAATTTATTAAATATTTTTTAAAAAAATTAAAAAAAAAGTAAATTTTGATGTAAAGAGTTACTCACAAAAAACCAAACCTTTAAAAATATATTCATTAAATATTTTAAAAATAAAAAAGCTTGACACATGTTTAAAGTGTTAAATATTAAAAAAAAAAAAAAAAGCAAAATCAAAGTTAGAGGTTGGTATAATTTCGAAGATTAGACTCTTGGTACTACGCAACAAATGCTTTAATTTATCTTTGATGTATGATTGATGGCAAATGATGTCTTTGACATCTCTTATTGATAGCAATTACATCGATCTTATACCAACCAAGAAAATCTTTTAAAAGCATAAAAATTCTTCCACAATTATTTTTGAAATCGAAATTAAAATTCAATTCGAATTAATTAAAATTGAATTGAAATTTTAAGTAAGATAACTTTTATTTATTGTTATTGATTGATTTGATTTGTTACTATTAGCATTGTTTTTATGGTTGGAGATAGGCAATGCAAGTCTTCTACTTAATCTTCTCTCCCTTCTATTTTATTTCTCTTTTGAACATTACAAAATTATGGTTTTTTTTTTTTTAATATTTGAAACAACCAAGATTGATTCTAATCACCATGAACCAAAAAATCTTAAATATACTAATATATCATATTGTATTTTTCTCGTGACAAAATAATATATACCTTTAAAAAACCAAGATTCATATAAAATATTTTTTTGTTATACTAGTAATGTCGTAAATGAGTTTAATCCAATCATGTAATCAGTTCAAAGCAGATTTTTCTTCTTTAAACTAGGCAATTATTAAAAGAATAGTTATTTGCTAATGAATTTGTTAGCATTAGGGTAATTAATAGGAAGTGAAATCGTCTAATAGTTGTTCTATGAAGCACTGAAGCAAGAAGTAGTTTTCCTACACTTTTTTTTATTTAGCTGATTGCCTCTAAAATCTGTAACAAGTTTGCTTTTTATGGTTAAGCATCAAAAAATTCTTGAGCTCTATCCGATATTCCGTGCATCAGATACATTCTTGAGCTATACTAAATTCGGAGTGTTAATTGACCTCTTTTTCGTTTTTTTTTTTTTGGATAAGCATCAAGAAATTATTAACCTCTGTCCAATACATTCCTTTTCCAGACTGATCTAAATCCGATCTAATGAATTTATAAAAATTATCTTTTCACAGCCTCTCAACGAATGCCCTCCCCTTCTCAGACGGATCAAAGCACATTTATCTAGGCAAATCTAATAAATTCATAGGAAATTAGTTTCCTACAATCTCTCAGCAAATTCAAAACTCAATGAATTCGAACCAAACGATAACAAGGAGAGGACCCATTTTTCTGTTAAATGAGGGCGCCATATCGATTGCAGGGAGAAAACTCAGTCCTAAGAGAGACTGGTGCGAAGCTTGTGACCATCCTATAGATCCATCCTATCTGTGGGTGCATAGCTTGCACATATCCTGCTTCGAATACTGTGACATTACAATTTTTTTTAGAAATATAACCATGCTGATTAAAGAAATTCTTGAACTTTGTATTGAGCTGTTGCTGAAATTATACATAGAAATTACTGATGACAAGTCGTGTCCCATGGTTCAAATTACACAAGCACTAAAATACTTTGCAATCCCAAATCACATATTGGCCATTTTAAATATTTAACACAAAATTACATCAACCATAGGTAATGAGGTTCCATGTTCTTGCTTAGTGCCCTGCTGGATTTCTGTTCCATGACAAATAAGAAGGATCTCCAAGTTGCCTGGAAGGGTAAGAGTACAAGTCATCAGTTGCAACAACCCAATATATGTGCCTACTATAATACAGCCCTATGTTTATCTTAATAATATACATATACAGACGAGTACAAGGCTTTTCTGTAGATAACACAGGTGCAGATTTGGTGATTATGAAAGTACCATTAGATTAATAAATTTTCATTTTTCTCCATTTCCATCCTAAATTCATCTTTCTCCATCTCCATTCTCCATACCAAACAAAGCCTAAGACTAATCCCTCCTCACCATCCTGAAGTCTGCCTAAGAGAAACCGAGGCGAGTCCCGGAGGGACCAGCAATGGCCCTCCCTTGACCTCTCAAAGTTTCCTTGGTCAATGTCTATTCTAACCCATTTTTGTATTTAGATTCAATAAATAATTTATTTTTCTTTTTTAAAAAAATTACCCATTTTTAATGTAATCTTTATTTCATTAAACTTTTTTTTTAATTTTTAAATGGATACAATTAAAAAAAATCCAACTAATTACTATCTAGATTGTACATTATAACTTTTCATTCAATCTTTAATATATCCAATAATTTTTTCTTTAAAAGGAATTTTTCTTTTTAAATGTAATTATATTATCATTTTATGTAACTTTAATACTCTTTTTCCTAGATTGTTTTTATCAATTTATCTTATATTTTTTACCAGGGCCATCGCAAGAAAATTCTTGGCTTTACCCCTGCCGACCCCCCCCCCCTTTTTGTCCCCCCATGCATACCCATGCCAAGATCAATCAATTATCCAATTAGATTCATTAGTTGCTCTCACATCAACCAATTATCCACTTAGTTTAGACATTGGAGACTCAAGGTATCACCACGAGACACAAATGACCACCGTAATTTCCTAACATATAGTTTTCATTTATGTATCATTAACCATTGTGGTACCCACTAATAGAAGAAAGAGAAAAAAATTAAGTAAGGTAGATTTGAAATTGCAGCTTAAAAGAGGGGCAAAAAAGTTAAAAAGCCAAAATCAAATTAAACGTGAAATTCTATCCTAATTTGTAGATAAAAAATGACTAAAACATCCTATTAGAGGGTGCATACCTTTCAAATACCCCAAACATCCTATCCTAATTTGTAGATAAAAAATGACCAAAACATCCTATTAGAGGGTGCATACCTTTCAAATACCCCAAACATCCTATCCTAATTTGTATCACCAACATCTTATTTTCACCTCTTCAGCCAGTTGGAATTGTGTAAAGATAACAGCAACCTTCCATAATATGTGAAAGCTAAGTCTAGAAGCCTGTTAGAGTATGATGGACATCATGAATGTAACCAAAGAAATTACCTTGGCTTGACAAGATACACAACAGTGAAAGACAAAGCCAAAAAGAAGCACAGCCCGCCAACAGTGAGATAAGCAATGCCAAGGAAGTCATTTTTTCCACCAAGCCAGCTAGTAGTCGAGAGCACAAGTTTTTTCTTGCCATTGAAGCTATATGTGTTGTAGTTGTTCAGCAACGTCACCTGTATGACTTCATTTGGTTGGAGATCCCGTTCTATCTTTCCATACAACTTTCTAAAAGTTGGCAGAGCAGCAGTTCGCATCCAAACAATTAGATCTTCTTGCTCACTCAACTGTTATACAGATCAATCTCGATAAGTTAACCAGTAGTTCAATGTTGGAAGGAATTTCAAAGATAAAACAACTGCTCCTTCAATGAAAAAATAAAGGCTCCTAGAGACTTCAACGTTTGCAATAGGGGACTTTTTAGAGAGGACTGACATGTCATTTTAGATGGAGTCCCAAGGAGCAATGGATGCAGCTAGACTAATGTGAACAGCAGATATAACTATTGTTTATCCACAAAAAAGGAACATAAGCAAAACGGTGAAATCAATACACTAAATATGCAGGAATACTAATGATGCCAGAATTATCTTCTTTGCAAGTGCACCCACAAATACCCACTTGATGCAGGAGCATTGTATAAATCTTGAGGACTTACTTTAGACGGAAATTTAGGAAAGGATCTTGTTTATTAGTGCAAATTTTGAAGGACTTCAATTCATTTTTTGGGCTTAATTTAAAGTTCAAGAAGCTCACATAAATATGTTTTTGTCAAACCTTTAAGACAGCTTTCGATAATTGAGATAGTGAAAAATGTGACATCTTACATTTTATCTTATCTTTTGCACACATATATAAATTGAAAACAGAGTCCCAGCCCCACCAGGCCCATCACATGTCATGGGACACATCAGCAATTCTCAAATTAATTTGGCAATTTTAACATTCACAACCAAAGTTAGAGCTTAATAGGCATTTTGTGGATTTTTTTTATGAGGGAAAGAGGGTAGGTAGGGGAAAGTGCAAGGATAGGGGAGAGAGGCTGAGGGAAATATCAGAGGTGCATGGAGAGAGTGTGATGCCATGCCAAATAGAGGAGGGTGAAGGTGAGAAAGAGAGGGAGGGAGAGAAGAGAGAAGAAAAGGTTGATCATGCGGCTCCCTACACCCCAAGCAGATACAGCTCCGAAAGGGGCTAGATTTGGCTCCTTGCCGGCTAATCAGAAGAGAAACAAACAGAAAAGAAAAAAGGAAAAGAATGAAAATTTAAAAAAAAAAGAAAAGAATAAGAAAGAGAGACAGAAAACAAAAGAAAAAGTAAAAGGTTAAGAGATAAGGAAATATTAAAAGGATAAATGATAAATAGAATGCTTTGTTACATAAAAGTAGAATAATCATATCACAGAATAACAAGTTAGAATGGGAATTAATAGTTGCTTATATAAAGAAAATATAAATGTTGAAAACCTATTTTTTTATTTTTATATCATAAATATAATATACTAATATGTTTATTAGTTTAATGTTAATTTTCAAGCTAATTGAATTGCTATTATTTTAATAGTGTAATAAAATAAAATACTAATATAAATCGTATAATCCATCATTTTTAAAAGTCATGTCCTTATAGATTCTCGAATTTTCCATTCCCAATGCCACCTCTGCTAAAATTTATTAGTTTAATGTTAATTTTCAAACTAATTGAATTGCTATTATTTTAATAGTGCAATCAAATAAAATACTAATATAAATCATACACCATCATTTTTAAAAGTCATGTCCTTATAGATTCTCAAATTTTCCATTCCCAATGCCACCTCTGATAAAATTTACGTATTTAGTAATAAATTCATATTTGAAACGCACAGGAAAGACAGGTTTAAGTTTTAATGAGAATATTTCCGTATCTTAGTAAGGAAAAAAATTTGAACCCTCAATGTGCATGGTTATTTACTCGTTAAAATTGAGACTTGAGTTCAGGGATTTGACAATTGAAAGTTCATAATATTTCCTGAGTGCTTATTCCGAGATTTTGTTATTCTATATCACCAGTTGTTGAAGAAACTATATAGTACAGAGAATAAAACAGTAAACTAAATAATAGCAGATGAAAGTAGTGAAAACTTACCGGGACAGATGGATCAAGACGGTTACCACCTATAAGAGTTCCATTCTGAAAATTTTTAGGAAATACGTCTTTCCCAAACTTTTTGTCCCTATCACTCTTCCAGGAGATATCCTTCTTGTTCACTGCCAGTTGCTGGTTGTTGAGGGAGAAATTGTATGTATCATTAAATAAACTCCAAGCTATAAGACCACAGGGGACAATTGGCTGGTCATTAGACATATCTTCAGGCTTACAAGAACTAACATCATTCCAACTGCTATTATCTTTCAACTGCGAATCACTTCGGCTCTTCACATACCTGAATTATGAAAAAGCCATCACCAAACTTAATGCCAAAGAATCATCACAACTAAATGCATTTCCAAAAAAGGGGGACAAATAAGATCAGGCGAAAAGGAAAAGAAAAGGTAGCCAGAGTTTGAAATGGACCAATATAAATATGATAAATACAGGGTTGAAGACCATGGATTGTCAAGCCAATGGAACAGAGAAATAAAGCATACAACCAAGTTCAAAAGCCTCAAAATAAACAGCTTGAGAATAATCTACAATAAAAATATAAAATTTCTAGTGCCCCAAAGGGAACATCTGGAAGCAACAAAAGAATCTACCACTACATAACACTCTGTAGAAAGTGAGTCTAAACTACTACCATTCCTATGCAACTCTAGATCCCACCATTCCTTCAAGGATCTAAAAAAATTGAAAATACAGGTTGAGAAAATCTGAAGAAGGTTTTTTCATTGAATATTTTACTATACATTTAGACAAATGACCTCTGCTCCATAAGTAGTCAAACTACATTTTGAGATGTTTGATAATGAAAACAGATATCCTTGGTATCGTTTTAAAAGTTGACCAGCTTGCAAGAGAGTATAGAATGGGGTGCAGAACTTATGGTAAAGGGACATAAGATTTACCGCCGATGATTCTGATAGAAGTTGTCAAGCTGGTAGTAGACATAGATAGGCTGCTTCATCAGCTTCTTAACCTTGTAACAGAAACAAGAGAATGTTAAGAAGATATTTATTTTTCATATAACTGTAGGAGTTAATTCTGATCAGCGATATCTTAATACAATATGACACTGAAGGCTGTCGTTGGGACTTGAGAGAATGGGCCCTACTGGAATTTCATTTCTTTAATATGTGCCCGCTTGCATGAATTATATAAGCACAGCAGTCAACTTAATCCCTAAAACCATGGGTGGGCTACTAGGCATTGCTAGAATTTGATTTGTTTAATATGTGCTTGCTTGTGTATATTATACATGCATTACTCAAAAGGGACTTGAACTTTTGCCTTGCCTGAGGTGCAAGGGCAAAAAAGCAATGGCCCATCAGCCAATGCACTAGTTTCTAAACATCATGCCTAAGCAATACACCTACTTCCTCTCCTATAAAACAAACCTGTATCATCCTTCCTTGTCTAATTAAAGGTACAACAATAAAAAATCAAAGAAAAATAAAAGACATTTAACCAAGGCATGCATGTTTGCCTCTTGAATTTCAAGGCTTGTGCCTTGGGTGTAGAAAGTATGCCCCCCCAGCTTGAGGTATAAAGTGCTTCAGCTAGATTGCACTGTGCCTTAGTGCCTAGACTACAATGCCTAAGCATGAACATAGCAGGGTCCAATATTAATTAAAATATAAACTTGGCAGAAGAAAAGAAAATAGAAATTAAAGACTTTAGTTAAACCATAGGAAATAATCCCAAATTAAATGGTTTGACAACAGTTACTTGTATAGCAAAGAGTTCTGTGTTACATGGTCACACGATACAAGCAAGCATAGGTTAGACAGGGTAAGAAAGGAGGGAAATGATTACTACCTTCACCCCCATAACCCCCCCACCATCATTACGATAAAAAAATAAAAAGAAGCTGTACAAGAAACTTACTGTCAATGTTCTGTTGCATGTTTTGTCAACAGCACTTTGTATGAAAGAGACCTTATCATTACTGAAGTTTTGTGGTACGCAAGCAGTTTCATACCGATCAATAATTTCAACGACCTAATAAAACAGAATGAAAGTTATTGCTTAACCGATATAAACGGAAGACAAAACGAAAAATGCAACATATTTTCTTTTAGTGATGGAGGGCTTGATCATACATCTCGAGAGGCAAAGAGAGAAACCACTCCAATAGGAATGAAGACAATGCTAACAAGCAAAAAGGCTGATATGACCTGCATAACAAGAAAGCCAGATTTAGCAAAACAGTTTTCCTGAAATGCCAATGGAATTGTAACGGAAGCATTGTCTATGCACTTGAAATGATTAAAAACCCACCCATCGCGGCGTGAGGATTGGCTTGCAAGCTGGAAGCTCCTGCTGAGTAAACTTAGAATCTGAGAGGAAAACCCAAAAAAACAAAAAAGAAAAAACATTATTATTACATTCAAGAATAAAAGATTTGAAAATTCATTCTTCATTTCAAATATTTTTAAATTATAAGTACAAAAAGTAACATTGGGGGTGAGCAGTTATCTCTGACTAATTATTCCAGTATATCCAATAAACCCTAATTATAATTCTGAGGATTTGCAACCTAACTTTGTAACAAGTAATAAAATCCTCCATATAAACAAAGAAGATGAAACAAAGAACAAAAAAAAAAAAGTAAACAATCACGCAGCAAAATACAAGAACGAATATAGAAAAATAAAAAGTAAAACAACTAAAAGTGGATAACAAATAAATAAATTGTATCGAAGTTAAAATCAAGTATAGCAAAGCAGGTCAAACTACATAGGCTATAAGAAAACAAGGAGATTACATTTGGGTCGTTTGGAATTTCTTCTAGGAGCAGCAGCATCAGCGGATCCAACACCTCCAGCGCTGGACGACGGCGTATTGGAACTCATCGGAGCAGTCTTTGCTAGAGACAACAGGCTATGGTCTGAGAGAAAAGAAACGAAAAAAATAAAAAAAAAACAAGAGAGAGAATTGGGGGGTTGGGTGAAGATGACTATTTAGTTGTAATTAAATATGAAGAAAGTGCAAGAAAAGAAAATTCAAAGTAGAAGAAAAATTCAAAGAACGAGTAGCATATACCGATGTTTGTTTGATTTATTTGACTTTCCAAGGGAAGGGAAAAGAAACCAAAGCTTGACAGAGCTAGGGTGGGCGGCACCAAATGTTATGCGCGTCGTGTCTAATTCTAGAAAGAGAGGGTGAGAAAGTTATTTTTCTAAAGACGACTTATTCATACAGTGGTCAAATCAATAAATTATTGCTTTTTACGACTGATACTCAGTTTTTTCGAGTTTATGTCTGTCAAATTGATTAGCCAGGTGGGTTTGGATTTCAATTTACACAACTTAAATTATTTCCTTTCTTAAAAATTTTAAATTAATTTTGGGTTAGAATAATTTTGGTTTTTTATTATTTTAATTTTAAATTATTTTGAATATGAATTATTTCGAATTTAAATATTTTTTGTTTAAATAATTATGAATTCAACTCATTTCGATTTTAAATAATTTAGATTTGATATTTAAATTATTTTGACTTGAATTATTTAGATTTAAGTTATTTTAAATTTAATTTATTAATTTTTAAAATTAAATTATATTATATTTAAATAAATTATTTGATTAAATTGAAGTTAAACTTTATTATAATTTTATTAAAAGATGAAATATAAAAAAATAATATTTTAAAAACAAATATAAATATTATAATTTGTATGCTTTAAGTTAAAATTAACTTTTTGCACAAATAAAAAATGTGCATCTTTACTTTTTATTAAATTAAAACATTTTATTTAATGTTTCATTCTAGTCATTGGTTATGAGTTCACTTTTAATAAAGTACAGTAAAACCACCTAAATTTTCAATTTCTGTATTCAAAGGATTTCATTTTTAAACTTTCAAAAGATCGTCATTTTTCTTAAGCCAATTTGATATTAGTAGATTACAATCAAATCACTAATTATGAGCCATATATATGTAATATACTAATATAACAACATACTCATATGGATCAACTATATGAATTACAATAGAAATCATATGATGAATGATATTATTATTAAAATGAAATTATTACCTAATATTCCCTCAATCCCAATAAGTTTGTCACTATTAAGTTTTAAAATTGTACCATTCAAAATGTTTATTTGGAAAATTTGACAAATTTTAACATATATATTTTCTTTTTTACCCCTTATCATATTTTAATTTTAAAATTATTAAAAAACCTTTCAACATAACTTTTTTTACACCATTTTAAACTACTTACTAGCCACGTGAATCACAATTATAAAGCAAATTCAAGGTTTAAAAACATTCCAAGTAAAATTGATAAAGATTTCCCAAGCTGGTAATGAAATTGAGTCAAAATTTCAAAAAAAAAAAAAAAGCAACTTCTACAACGAGAATATGAACTTAAGTAAAAATTTGAAAAGATGCATGTATAGTCAAGATTTACAAAAATAACATTGTGGTTAAACAAAAACAAGTAAAAAAGTCCTTATTGCTATCTAACTTTGTAGCATTCTTATTGTTCTAAATTCATTCCAAAAAGCCTAGATGGTACTGCATTCAACTTTGAAGTTGAATCTGCATAAAGCTTCTTGCACAATTTCTTGGTCACAATGAAGATGGATTGTAGGTTTTCCATTTCTTTCCAACCTTTGCTTACCCATATGTGGCGGCTTGTAATTATTTCTTCCATTAACCTCCATAATTTCAACCATGCTAGATTGTAGTGTTAAAAACATATTGTTCAAACTATCTGGAGATAACTCAATAAAAGATTTTTCTATAGCTATTGCTAACTCATCAATTGTTGTAGGAGTTTCTTGGTGCTATAAAGATTGTATTGCTCTAAAAAATTCAAGATCCAATACATTCAAATTATTTAGGAATTGAAAAATAGTTGAAAATCAAATCCATCCACACTTACGACTTGAAGAAATTGTTCATCATCAATTGGCTTTGCATTATCTTTTTGAATGAAAGTGCTTCTTTCACTAGAAAGAGGCCATTTAACTCTAATTACGGGTAGTATTTTATCAATTAAACATGACCTTGTGACATCTTTAGTTACTGATAGAATAGGTTTTGTCTCTAAGGTTCCAGCTAGTCAATTTTTGCTATTATACCTAACTGGTTCTTTGTAGACAAATGGGGAAATCCTTATTTTTTTTAGAAAATTCACAATTTAAAAAATCATCAAAGCGTGGTCTAGCAACTGTAGCTAAAAACATTACTTCAGTGATAAATTATTTGCTTTTACAAGCAGAAAAAGATTCAACCTCATATGGATGAAGATAATATCTCTCTAATGTTTTTAACAAGTAAAACTATTCCTCATTTGCTTGAATTTGTTAACTCTATGCACAAATTAGACACCAAACTACTTGATAGAAATGATCTTAACATAAAAGTTTGGATTGATTAATACATCTTGATTGATATTTATGCCTAGTTCTTGATTAGATTAATGATCTTTAACGCATGAATATTTATTTAAGATGAATCTTTAAACATGGATATGAATTAAACATATTCTTGAACTTTAATTACTTTGACTCATAAATTATGAACTTATTATTTGAAATTTATACATTTTCCTTTATTGAAATCATTGAGATATCATGTACCAAATTGTGCCTAAATACTTGCATATCTTTTTGAATTAAGTATATTGTTGTTAAATGGTTGGAAGCATATGTGCATGTGCTTGTATGATCTTAAAGATATGTTTGAATTGTGTTCAAACACTTGCACATGCTTGAATTAAATTGCTATACATTGAAATAACTTAAAATATATTTGAATGATACCCATCATGCATTTGGATAATCATGCTTTTATAATTTCTTTGATATAGCATATGTATTCATCATATTTGGAAAATGATACATGTATAATCTCTATTATAACATGATGAAGGAATTTCATTGCTCATTAGTACTTATGTCTTGTTAATTGTATATGAGCTATGATTCTTATTGAAAATTTCTTTGAATAGGATATGCTTATGAAAAATTGTTTTTATCATTTTAGATTTATTGATTAAATCTTTAATATCCATGAAATATTTTTGCTTCTTGAAAGTTAGTAAACAAAATTGCTAAAGAATTTTTGAACTTTCATAGATGCTTGTGCTCATTATGAAATATGTGACTATCTTTGATATAGCTTGTATCTTTTGTGCAAAATTGTATGTGTTTTAAATTGATTACTCCTTATTTTGAAAAATGAAAGAAATCTTAGAACACAATTTTACTTGAATTAAAATTATTTGTTTATGTGATAACGTCTTTTTAACAATAGGTATGAGCTTAAATATATATGCTTGAATATAGAGTTACATGATATTGAAGTTTTACATTCTAAGCCATTTTATAAAAACATGATTTATGAGTAACATGCATATTATTTTTTTATCCTTTTACTCATAAGTTTCATGTAGTAAATTTGAGACTATTGTGCTAAAATGTTTCAATTGGATACATTGGTACATTTATGCTCTTGTACTTGATTACATGTATTTGAACTTTGTTGTGCATTTTACACTTGAATACATGGATTCTTTATGTATGATATTAAATTGCTCTTGAAAATTGTCCTATATTTTGAATTGATCTCCTTTTTACTATAACAAAAAGGAGAGAAATATTTTATGGACAAATTTGTTTTCAAATACATATATGTGTACTTTTTTAATAGATATATATTCTTTAACATAAATGTATTTTGAATTATGAGTGTTCAACAGTAATGATTATAAGTGTTGGATTAAGATAAAAAATGTACTAGTTAAAGGAGAGTTTTGCTAGGAAACATGTATGGTTTAGAGAGAGTTTTTCAAAATGGTTTTTAGAATTCTAATATGTTTCAAAAAAAAAATTTTCATCGAGCAAATTTAACTTTTGATTTTTTCATATAAAAAAAGAGGAGATTATTAGCCTTGAATTGATCCTTATTTTGAAATGACAAAATATTAAACTAAATAAACTTGATTAAGAATTGAAAAAAATTTATTTAGTGCATGTTCTTAAATTATATTGGTTTTAGTATTAAATAAATACTAGTAATATATGAAATGAAAAATATTTTTGAAAAACGGTTTTAGATTTTGAAAAGATTTATTTAGTATATGTTATTAAGTTTTATTTTTTTTTTTTACTAAATAAATAATATATTTTTCAAAGTGATATTTGATCTAAAAAATATCTTGAAAATTTATTTTAAAAGATTGGTCTTAACATTTATATCAAAAATACAAATTTCCAAGACTAATAATTCTTTTTAAAATATTTCCCAAAGTTTAAACAAATTTTTCTTTATGTTTTGTATTTCTCAAACCAAAACTATCCATAAAGATTATTTATTTGAGCTTAAATGAAAGTCCAAATTTTGTTTTAAAAGTTAACTTATTCATCTTGGACTCAATACAAGTTTTATAAGATTGGTTTTGAGAAATGGATTAACTAGAGAAAGATATTTTGTAAGAACAAGTTTTTCTAACATTGAATTTGTTTTTTTTTTTGTATTAATTTGTAAAGTTTTAATATTTGAATTTTATATGGATAGAAAGTTTTTTAAGTCTACTTTTTAATGAATAAAATAAAATCAAAATCCAAATTTAAAAAAAAAAAGATTTTGAATTTTTACTCGAGACTATGCAAGTTCTTTAACAACTACACGAGGTAGATTTAGAAATTTATTATAATTTTTATACATTGAATCAGATGATGAATTTTATATGAATAAAAGTTCTTTAAGTTTAGTTTTAATATCTTTAAAATGATCTTAATTTAGAGTTATATAACTTAAGATATGATCAAATTAGTGAGTAAAGTGCAAAACGAGATTTAATCTAAAGTAATCAACTACACTATTCATCCAAAATCACCTCGAATGAAAAACCAAGTCTACCTGATCAATCCTCTATCAAAATTGATTGATTTATTCTCTTGCAATGGTCAAAATTTTAATGGAATTCGAGAACCAACCAATCCGTTAATAGACCCAATCGATCCATTTATCCTTAATAGCTTTTAATGGCTAGTTTTTTTTTTTTTTAAATGACTTTTCTTCTCCAACTCAATCTCAATTACTCCAATTCATTTTTTTTCTATATAAGGAGGTCTTCCAACTCCCATTAAGAAGAGAAAGACATGGGAAAAAGTTCATAAAATCATATCTTTAAAACTTTTCAAGAAAATCAAGAGCAACAAAGAGTTTAGAGC